CACACACACATAGTAACTCTGGGTGGTGATAGTACATTAATTCATTTGTCATACTCATTTCATAATAAAACATAAATCAAAACATCACATATACAGTTTTCATTGTAAATATATATATATTTTTTTAATGACAAAAGACTATTTCCTCCTAATATCAAGAACAAGACAGAATGTCCACTCTTACAATGCTTATTCAACAACATAGTACAAATCCTACCTAATGCAATAATACAAAACAAGGAAATAAAAGGGATACAGATTGGAAAGATAAACATCAGAGTGTCCTTATTTCAGGTGACATAATTGTCAATGTAGAAAACATTGAGGAATATAGCAAAGGACACCTCGAGGTGCCTGGGTGGTTCAGTTTGTTAAGTGTCCAGATCTGGATTTTGGTTCAGGTTATGATCTCACAGTTAGTGAACTGGAGCCCCACATTGGGTTCTGTGCTGACATCACAGAACCTGCTTGGGATTCTCTCTCTCTCTCTCTCTCTCTCTGCCTCTCCCCACTCAAGCCTGCATGCACGTGCTTGTTTCCTCTCTCTCAAAATAAATAAACTTTAGGGGAAAAAAAAGACCACTGCATCAAATAAATAAACTAAGCTAGGTTGTAGGAAACAAAATAAACACAAAAATCAATCACATTTCTATATAATAACAAGAATATGTCAAAACCCATTACAAACACAACAATTATAATCTTTCAAAGAAGGTGAAATACTTCAGATGCACATTAAAAAAAAACATTATGAGATTTCTATGCAAAGGGCAAAATGTGAGTGAAAAGAATAAAAGAAAACCTAAATAAACACATTCTGTGTTTATGCATTAAGAGACATGGCTTAGTAAAGATACAGATTTTCCACAAATTGATTGATAGGTTTAAATCATGTCTTACAAAGTCTCAGCAAATATTATGTAAACATAGATAAATTGGTTATAAATTTGTACTGTAAGGCAAAGACACTGTAATAACAAACACAATTCTAACAAAAATAATATGGGAGGAATCACTGGATGTGGTGTTGAGAAGTACTATATGGCTATCATAAACAAGATAGTGTGGCACCAATGCAGGGATAGATACGGAAATCAATGAACAGAACAAAGAATGAGAAACACACACACACAGACACACACACACACACACACGCCCCACTGAATTTTTATATTGGTACAAAAGCAATTCAATGGAGGCACTGGTGCTGGGGCCATTAGACATTCAAGGACCAAAAACAAAGATCCTTGACCTAAACTTCACACTTCACAATTAACACTAAAATTGACACATGAAACGATGCTCAGCATCCCTCCTTATTAGGGAAATACAAATCAAAACCACACAGATACAACCTCACGCCGGTCAGATGGCTAAAATGAACAAATCAGGAGACTCTAGATGCTGGCGAGGATGTGAAGAAATGGGCACCCTCCTACACTGTTGGTGGGAACGTAAACTGGTGCAGGCCCTCTGGAAAACAGTGTGGAGGTTCCTCAAAAAATTAATAAAAGAACTCCCCTATGACCCAGCAATAGCACTGCTAGGAATTTACCCAAGGGATACAGGAGTGCTGATGCATAGGGGTACATGTACCCCAATGTTCATAGCAGCACTCTCCACAATAGCCAAAATATGGAAAGAGCCTAAGTGTCCATCAACTGGCGAATGGATCAAGAAGATGTGGTTTATCTATATGATGGAATACTCCATGGCAATGGAAAGAATGAAATCTGGCCATGTATAGCAATGTGGATGGAACTTGAGGGTGTTATGCTGAGCGAAATAAGTCAGGCAGAGAAGGACAGATACCATATGTTTTCACTTATGAGTGGATGAGTGGATTAGGAGGAACTTAACAGAGGACCATGGGGGAGAAGAAGGGGAAAAATAGTGTGGGGGAGGGAGGGAGGCAAACCATGAGACACTCTCGTATGCTGAGAACAAACTGAGGGCTGATGGAGGTGGGGCAGAGGGGAAGGGGGGTGATGAGCATGGACGAGGGTACTTGTGGGGATGAGCACTGGGTGTTATATGTAAACCAACTTGACAATAAGCTACTTAAGGAAAAAAATTTTTTTAAACCTGGATTTTAAAATAATGAATAACAAAAAAAAAAAAAAAAAAGAAAAGAAAATCCTTGGGACTTGCAGCTAGGTGAAGAGTTTTCAAACATGATGCCAAAGTCAAAACCCATAAAAGGAAAAAACAAATGAACTGGCCTTATCAAAATTTAAAAAAAAAGTTTGCTCTGCTGTAGACCCTGATACAACAAAAAGACAAGCTACACACTGTGCCTACAGAAGAATACTAAGAGGGAGACTTTTGGTGATGGAACAGCTCTGTAACGTGATTGTGCTGGTGGATACACTAATCTACATGTAAGATAAATATTCAGACAGCAACACACACACACACACACACACAAATGGGTAAACCTAAAACTGCTGAAATCTGAATAAGCTCTGTGGCTAGAACCAATGACAAATTCTGCTTTGATACTGTCCTATATAGTTAAGCAAGATATTATCTTAGAGGAAACAGCTTGGAGGCCACATGACATGACACCTCCTGGGACAACTTCCAGGGAATCTATCATTATTTTCAAATAAAAGTTTTAGAAATAACTATGTAAATTTAAGATAAATCCATGCCTACCCGCCGGTTTGTGAAGACAGAATAGCATTCTTTCACTAGTACTGTTTTGATCATGTCCGGATCTGTGATAGCCAACACCGGCTGTCGCCCATCATAAAACCTGTGTCAGGGAAACAGAGCTGATTATTTAACATGCCAGTTTGTGCAATGGCAGCCACTCCTGGAAGTCTAGACTTTTATCCTGATCTTACCTAATCCAATCTCTGAGACCATGGCCAGAAATGACATTAGAATGTTTATTAAGTCTACATGTGTATGTGGGTATTTCTGGGACCATTCTCCATAATTTTTTGCATGTTAAAAATATTTCAAATATTTTAGAAGTACTTCAAACATTTTAAATATTTTGTCTATATTATCAAACAAGAAGATGGATTAGTAAATAAATGAAGGCAATTAAATTATCTAAGAGCAAAAAAAAAAATGAAAGAGAATCCACCCACTCAATCACTAAAAATTAGAATTTTGAAGATACATCAAACACATGAAATGCACGTGATACAATATTAGGTGCAAATTATAGACAAAGTGATCACAAAGATGAAAGATGTGCCTGCAGATATAGACTTGAAATGCTCAAAAAGTGATGGCAATATTATGAATCATTTCTTTGACTTATTTTCTAAAATATGCTTGCTAGTTACATTTTAAAGAAAATATTATTTAAATATTAAAGAGACATCCTTGGTAGTATTAACTCAGAAAATTTTGAAAACAAAAAACAAAAAAACAAAACAAAGAGAATAAAGTAATACAGAGAAACTTCAGTGGGAGTTGAGTATATTTAGTGTTGAAGCAGTGATAGTATTTACTGAGGTGGCACTTGGTATGGCTCTCCCATCAGCCTGATCATATTTCTTGGGCAATTTCCTGTGTCTCATCCTGTTTGTTAAAAAACACCAGGGTGGAGGAGGGACAGTGTTTTGGAATTACACTTTACTTTCATGATCTCACATAGCCCTAATACGGCTTCCACTACCAGTCAAATTCAGATTCTTGCACCCCACCTCACATCCTCCAGATTCTGTGTTGCTGGGAGATGGAAACCAAGAATGTGCACTTTT